AAGCCTCTTATAGACTAAAAGTATATATAAATACTTTATAGTATTATATAGGATAAACTAATAGAATTTAACCTTATAGGAGTGCTTTTTTATCTACTTTTACTTTTAGTTATAATTAATCCTTAATTTATTAGAGAGTATTTTATGATTACTTTAAGATTAAAAGTACTTACTATATTTTAGCTTCTTATACTAAGTAATATCTTAAATTATATAGCTTAGATTATTATTTAGATAATAATAATCTAAGTTTTAAATAATTTATTAAATAATAGTAATATAATTACTAAATTTAGAAGGGATTAGGGATGTAGTATATACTATAGAATTTATTCTTAACTAGTTTATATATTATATAATAAATTATAGTTAATAACTTATACTTTAGATAGTTTAAGCTATTATTTATCTTAGAGTAATTAAGGATTAAATATATTTATAATATTATAACCTATTATGCTTAATATATAGGGTTTTAATCTTAATATATTAACTTTATCTAGGCTTTAAAGGAGTCTTAAGCTATATATACTTAAGTAATTACTTATTATTATAATATAAGGATTTAGGTGTTTTCTTATACTTTTTATATTTATTCTTAGATTATTTTAGGAATAATCTTATATAGTTTTAAGAACTTAAGGTTAAGATATTTATAAGTAGTATACCTTATATATTAATAAATAACTTAGTAATAATTTTAGACGTTTAAAAAAGTATACTATATATTACTTTCTACTTACTTTAATTTATAATAGAATTAAACCTATTAAGTTAGTATAAAGACTAAATATAAAATAATCTAAGATAAACTTACTTTATTTTAAAGCCTCTTAACTTTAATATTTATAAGTTTTTTTATTAAAATTATATATAGATATTTACTAAAAAATATATTTAGGTAAGTAGGGATATTAGTAGTAAATATAATATTTTCTATAATAAGTATAGTTAAATAGAGGATTAATTTTAGATAAATTACTTATAAAATTAGAGATTAATTATAGATTATATAGCTTTAGTGCTTTACTTATTTATCTAAAAGATATAATTATCTATTAATTATAAGGTTTAATTAAGAAGTTATAAACTTACTTTATAGCTTCTAATTATTAGATCTCCTCTTTAGGAATATTAATAGGTAGGGGAGTGTTTTTAGAGTTATTATATATACCTATAACCTACTAGAATAGCTACTTAAATTTATTATCTTTATTATTAATATACTAACTTAAATAGATTAATCTAGGATTAAACGCTATCTTTTTAGTTTAAGTAGAATTAACTATAATTAGTTTTAGATTATTCTAAGATTTAGTATATAAAGCTACGTAGTGAAAGATTATTTTAAGTAAGTTAGGTAGTAAATAGGTAGAAACTATTAGATATACCTTTAAAGTAGGGTAGTAATAAGTAAGCTAATATACTCCTCTTTCTATAGATAAATATTATACTACTTATAAGTAGGGCTGAGGTGTACTCTCTATTAGGTTAGTAGGAAAGGGGGGTACTTAAGGTTAACTGTATTATAGCTTTTCCCCTCTTATTATAATCCTTATTATGGATTTCTACTAAGGCTATTGAACCTAATCCACCTGAGGTCAGCCAAGCTGAAATGAGCAATCTGTTCCAGTTAGATGCCACATACAACTATACCCACTAGAGAACTCAGGATCCCGTCCGCTCTCCCATAGATAAGCCAGTGAGGGCTGGAGTAGTAGTCAGGTTGGTGACGACTGGCGAATGCCTGGTGTTGTATGTTTTTTTGACCTTGGTCCCCACTTTCTGCTGTTCGGCTGGTTGGTTGGGGACGATAGACATTTTGGTTGCGGCCCCGCTGAGGGGGTTCTAGCGGACGTGAATAACGGTTGGAACTGACAACTAAGATAGATGCTGAAATTCCCTACCAGTCGTTGAGGACCTAAAGTCCTGGTTCTTAGGTGTCACTAGAATAACTTTGCACGCAAGGTAGAATCCTGCATTTCTGGCACCCTTTAGAAACCCTGGAAACTCCCACGTCTGTGGTAGCGCTTAGAGACCCCTCATAATACTTGTCCACGGCTGGTGTCGGCATCATCGAGGGAAGAAGACGCAAAACGACAAGAGGAAGTAAGTGGGGCTGGGTTGAAGACTCACGGCTTTCATTCAATTGCCTTGCGACATAATAAAGGGCTCAGGCATGATGTGGAGGGCGGCTGAGACGTAACGCAACATAAACGAAAACTCTTTATCCAATTCGTCCAACGAGGCTGACAGTTAGCCGTTTTCAGCACTAGAAGTCCAATAGGGCTGTCTAGGAGGTCTGCCACAAGGAATGCGGACAGTTTGTCCTCGTTGCCTAGTGCCCCCGCAAACACGCTATGCATCGCTGAGCCTTGAGGGAGGGATGACAAGCTTGAGTGGCCAATTAGAGATTACGCTGTATGTGAATTTTTCCCTCGGCATATCCGGCTTGGAACTACCTATATAGGTAACCCCTTATCGTTCCTAGGCGGGCCCCCCTCCTCTACGTAGGAGATCTAGCTGTAGTAAAAGCTCTACAGGGTTGGCGAATGGACCACTCGCTGGACTCGAATGGGGCCGGTTGTAGCCATTCACTCGGGCTTGGCTGTGCTGCGTTCCGTTGAAAAGATCAAATTGTGAGCCAGCTAAAGTTCACAGTGAGTGAGATTGCTTCATTCTCTACGGTCATCACGAAACTGATTAGTTATGTTGCAGGATTCTGACCACTGCCTGAGACTGCCGAGGCAGCTCGCGTACCCGGGAGGGAGCCAGGTCAGCTTCGACGGCAAGGGGTTTCGCACCTATAGCGAAACCATACTCAACGTCAAGCTTTACGTTCTCGAACACGAAGGAATCACAGCGTGGAAACAGGTTCTGAGATATAAGGGCAAGACCTTGGAAAATGGTAATAAACCCCCCCCCAAACCCCTCCTCGACGGAGAAATACCGTCTCGAAGAAATTCTCTTCTCATTGAAAACAATCATTAACGCAAAAATATTTATAATTCACAATTCTCATCTAGACCGTCAAACCATTTCCCGTCAAGCTGCCGCTGTGGCAGTTGCAGCAGCATAATAGGCACTACCATACGCAATAACAGTACCAGCAACATTCTTTCCACAAGCACCGTTAGAACAGTCTCTCAGACCATATCCAAAGTTGACGTTGCGGCAGAGGCAAGACGGATCAGGGGATGTGCATCCCAATGATGCATATTGCGCAAGCATGTTGTTGAAACATGTCTGGTCGCAAGTTGGCAGGCTTGTGATCGCGGTTGTGGAAGATGCGGAAGTGGTCTTTGTAGCTGAAGTTGAAGTTGTCGTTCCACCCGTAGCAGTTGCTAGTGCGCTGGCGCAGCACTTGCTTTGGTATGCAATTACTGCGCTCGCATCGGCCACTCCACAGACTGCATTTGAGCAGTCCCGGATGCCATAGCCGATGTTGACATTGCGGCACAGACATGCCGGATCGGGGGTGGAGCATCCAAGGGATGAGTATGTGTTGATCATATTCAAGAAACATATTTGCCCGCAGGCTGGGAGAGAGGAGATGGCTGGAAGTGCAGTGCTCGATGTTGTCGACGTTGATGAAGTGAGCGAGACGGACGAGGATCTGCTTGACGTCCTTGAGGATGTAATAGCAGTTGTGCGGGAGGTGGTCGATGGGATGCTGATGGGCGGCAGAGGATCCGTCTTGACCTGAGCCTCAAACACGAACAGCAGCGCCTTGCCGCCGCACGTCTGTTTCGCGTCGCCGGGGCAGGGCAGGTTGCACGAGGTTTGGTTTGCGGCCCAGTCGCCGCCCACAAAAGAGCCGCACCAGCAGCCCTCGCTCCAGCACGCGGCCTGGCACTTGTCTACGGTGAGGCTGCTGCCGCCAGCCTTCGTCGACTTGGTGTCCAGCGTGTGGTCGTCGATGAAGCAGCCCATTGGGTTCCATCCCGTCAGCACGGCCGTGGGCGTCTGAGACTGCGCGGGCACAGTCGTCGTGGTGCTCGCCGTGGTGGTGGTGGTTTTGGGAGGCTCTTCGCTGGCGACCTGGATGCAGTACGAGGTCCAGTCTTGCCAGCCGCTGCAGTCGAGACCGACCGACGGGTTCCAGCGGCTGAATGTCTCGGGGGAGATGGCAAACATGTAATCCCGCACCACGACGCAGCTCTCGCCTTCGTAGTTGTCATACCAGTGGCTGCACGACTTGATGGTGTTGGCCAGCACATTGGCCTGAGGCGTCTCGCCTCGCTTTCCCAGGTGCACTGCCGACGCCCCGGCTTCCCGGGGCATCATGGCAAGCCAGAGGGCTGCCGACGCGAGCGAAGAGAGAATCATGATGCTGAGCTTGCAACTTGAAGGCCAAGCGGAGGAGGGATGGACAAACGAATGATGGTCCGCTATGGGATGAACGTGAGGTTGGCAGGCGCGGACACACGACAACAAGGCGGCGAAGAAGAGGGACAAAGCACATCCTCTTACCAGCCAGATGGTGTCGAGTCACGACGCCATTAGATTAGCCCATGAGTCCACAACCCGGAATAGAACCAGAACCGGCTTCTCCTCTGTTAGTTGTCAGGGGGTTCAGCCAAAAGGGCTTCGTCTCCCTCAGCCAAATCTCATCATTGGCATGGGTGTGATGGGTGGGATTTCAAAAAGGTTCATGGGTGAACAAGTGCAAAGAGTTGGAAATCATATAACGTGCTTCAACCATGTAAGTGTCGGATCAATTCCTTGATAAGGCCACAAAAATAAGCTTAGTAGATATTACATAATATAACACCCAATAAAAGCTACCCTAGGGTATTATTACCCCTGTTAAACCAACAGCAACTGATCCACATCTAAAGACGGATATATAAATATCGTAGTAGTTGGTCGAATTCTTTTGTGTCCCTTTATCTCCTTGCTTCAATCACATTCCATCTACCTTACTGAATATCCACTCAACCAAGCATTTATTCTTGTCTCCTGTCACTTCGGTCTCTCTAGGTTGAAAGATAATTTCAATGGCATCATTCGGTCCTTTTTCCCGGCTGCCTCTCGAGCTGCGCCAACGCATCTGGCAACTGAGCATGGAGCCCCGACACGTGCTTATGGGAAAATGCGAGTACCTCCATGCGCAATCAAGCCCACCAGCCGTTCTACAGGCCTGCGCGGAATCGAGATCGCATCTCCGAGGCCATTATACCCAGGAGGCTCGTTGCGGCTGCAGTGGATCATCGGCGTCGCGCGCCATGGTGAACTACGACATCGATACCGTCTGCATGACCGCCTTCGACATTACTATCTGGTCGAGTGCCAAGGATGCACCCATCAAGTACCTGGCGCTCGAGTCCAGGGACTCGGAGGCCTTCTTCTGGAACACTAGTGGTGCCGTGAGGGACATCGCGACTCTCGAGCACCTGGAGATACATCCTACGCCAGGCTCATGGCCGGAAAGGAAAAAGGCGCTCTTGTTGCAGGATTGGATCTCTCAGCTGGAGGTCTGGTACACCCCGTGCCCCCCGGCGCCATTCCGCACAAAGATCATCAGCCCTTGGCCAGACGTCGACATCCCTGAAGTTGGAGCGGATAACTTTGACGAGATATCGCGGGCTTGGGACAGGACGATGGGGTGGGCGTCAGACGGCTCATCGGAGGCTGACGAGCCGTTTCCAGATGCGCCCCCTCATGGTCAGGCAGAGGCCGACACAGAGACCGGGGTGCAAGCCCTGTGAGCGGTCACCTGTTTGGCCCACACCCTACGGTCTATATTGACGCAGGTACGGATATGAGATACTCGATATAGCAAAATCAGGCCCTACGACAGGGCTGACCGGTGGATCACCTTGTTACTTTGTTCCATCTCATTCCCATCTCATTTTATTTTCCATCTCATGGTCCAACATCTCTTGTCGTTCCTTGCATCCATAACATGTTCATACTGCCGTTGTAGATGGCCGAAAATCTCAACGTTCAAGAATCGTAACCGAACGGGACAACGGGGACAGTAGAGGTGACGCTGTTGCTCCTTCAGCCTATTTACGCATTCGTTTCTTCATACACTCCTTCATTCGCACCTTCGTTTCCTCGTCGCCACGTTTTCTTCACAGCAGTCCCTCATCATGCGGTTTCCCGTCTTCATCCTCAGCCTGCTCTGGCTCGTTCTCGGAGCCTTGGGCGCCGGCAGACGAGCAGCATATGAGAAGATCCTATTGCTCTATGCGTACCGAATCGACCAGCTTTTACCGGAGGACCAACGAACAGTAGGCGTAAAGTGTGCAAAGTGGCCCACTAGGGAGGAACTGCCCTGTGAGGACCCGGGCAACAATAAGCCCAAATATCTTCACTGCAAACCAAAACAACCGGCCAGGACGGTCTGCTCTCTCGGCGAGTTTATCGGGCACATCGATAGCAACAAGGGCAAGAACTATAAGAACCAGCTCTTCGTTGATGGCGTCAAGTGGGACGAAGAAACGCTCGACTTTGACATGAAGAAAACGGCGGAAAAGATTATCAAGTACGATGCTGCCGATGGTCGCAACCTGCCCTACCGCCTCTTCAAGGACGGCGCTCTCCCTACGTATCATGGGGCCGATATCATCAAGAACGGCGTGGTTCTCGGCAAGAAGAGGGGCTACGACGGGTCGCTGACTTCCATCTTCGGTCGGATGGCCCACGTCAAAAGTACGCTCCCCCAAGCGACCTTCGACAGTCCCGACGTCAAGTTCCTCTTTGATCGGGTCGAGGAGAGCCGCACCTCGGTGTTGGCAGCGCGCACGGCCGACCACGACTACTGGATCAAGAAGGACTTCGTGGCCCATATCCCAGGCATTGACGTCAAGACAGCGCCGATGGGCTACCAGGAGTGGGTCGACGGCCAGGACCGAGACATTGAGAAAATCCTGACCCCCGAGACCATCACCGCAAATCAGGCCGCCATCCCTAACGTCGAGGACCAGATGAAACAGGTCCGAGCGGACCGACTGACGGACGCGTTTGCCGGCCCGTTCCAAGGCCAGCAGGCGAGGGACCACCAGGTTGTGATGGAATGTTATGAGTAAGGAGGAACGAAGATTGAGAACGCTGTTTGCATTTGATCGCCCTATCAACTATCTTCTCCCTGTTGCGTTTTCAGTATGCCCCTGAAACTTTCGATATACTTAGTAGATAGCACTCTTAGGCTTAATACGACTCTGTACTTATTTTCTCAGGCTTTCATCATTGATGTTTCTTCCTTATTGAACTGTGAATTGAATACTTGCCGTCTATCTTGGGAACAACTTTAATCCTCATGAATCTTACTGGCACTTTCACTTCTAGGGGGTCCAAACGAGCAGCAGGGTCTAAGATCAATCGCTTGACGGGCCGTCGCTCCGAGCCGCACAGCCGAAAGGGAAGCAAAATCCCGAAATTATTCGTCGTTCGTTGGCCCCCCAAACAAAAACCTACAATACTTCCATGTCAAGCACCCGGTATTACAGAACTAGTTTGAGGCCACTCACTCTAGCCTATTTAGTAAGGAGGTTGACGTTAACGGTGTCCGTGCCGGAAATGAGCTCGTGCGCACCCGGGCCCCACCTTCCCGCGTTGGGCCCTGACCGAACCCCGGGCTTTGGAGTTGTGAGCTCGGGTGCCTGGAGCCGTGGCAGGGCTGAAGGTGGGGCCCACGAAGGAATCAGGAACCAAGGAGCTACCTTACCCGTGCCTGTCCCACTTCTGGTCTGTCGCGTCTGGCCTAATCCAGCCGCACCACCTAATAAGGTGGTTAACCGTATTTGGTGGGGCGGGCACTAGTGCGGAGTAGAGGGGGCTGCTCCCAGGGATCTGAACTTGTCTCATTTTTCATCTCTTGTGAAATTGGAAAATGGTACGATACAGTAAGCATTAAACAATGAAAAAAGAAAACCCTACATCGTGGCCTTCTTTGTGGAGACTTCTCACGGGCCGAAGCAACTAGCACGGAGGAGTGCCCGCGCTTAGCATATCATAAGTTCCTTACGAGGATACCCACGCGGCCGCACGCGGTATGCATGAATGCAGGACCCTACCCTGGCTATCACTTACACCCATTGACTGCAATATGCATCTACAGAGTAGATAGGGGTTACTGAGCGGTAAGCTTACAGTTGTCTATCTCGAGGCCTTTTATCCCGTGGACGCTGGACGCTTAATCCTCCCGTCTCGTCTCACTCAGTTTGTTCCTCCAGCGCTTTGGCATCAACTCACTCTTTTCGGTTGACTATGGCGACCGCCGCCGTCCTCTCCCTTACACACACACTCTCTCAGAAAAAAAATGGTCATCTGATCACCATGTTCGTCAAGTCTTCCTGTTTATAGCTGCTAGTAGCAGCTCTTGGCGCAAGCTCTTCGCCACTGTCTGGCCCCACCTCCCAGCCTGTGGCGGTCGGCACAAGTACACCCTCCCTCCTCCCGCACCTAGTAGTACCTTTAATAGTGAACTGACTTGATTCGTTCCAGGTCCTGCCGACATCTCAACCTTCATAGATGACTTTGTGAACCAATGGAAGTCCAGCCATCCAGACCTCGATAGCGCCGAGCTTCAGAGGGTCCTGGTATCAGCCGAACAAACCAAAGTCTCCCTCTTAAGCACGAATTCTGGGGAACTGGAGGAACGCTCACCTCTGAAACGGGACATGCATCCCACATCGCCAGCGCCGCCCGTGCCACCCTTCGTGCCGCGGCACAGGCGTCAGCTCCAGACGGCGGGCAACTCGACAAGTGGGATATCAGGTGCCAACTCGACCGTCCTGGAAACCAGGTCGCTTGTCCGCAAGGCCCAGCAGGAGGCCAGCGCCCGAAACAAGGAGCGCTTCGCCAATCCACGCACAAACGCGTACTGGGCCAAGCATGGGTCCGGCGCAGCCGGCTTGCGCGCCCGCGCAGATGATGTCGCTGCCTTTGCCATCAACGAGACCATCGCCGTTGCTGCCGCCATTGTTGTCGAGGCAGATTATGCCCATAATGTCCCCGTGGAGTACCCGCCTCTTCCTGACGACATCAGGCAGCTCAAAGAGCAGATGTTTGGTCCGGCCGGCGCTGACGCCGGGGCTAGCGCTGCTGCGGGCAGCCTCGGCAAGAGGGCTCTGTCGACCTTCTGGATGGAGGACATCAGCCACACGGGCAAGGTCCCCTTCGGCGGTTCCGCCAACGACGGGTACAAGGTGTTCCGCAACGTCAAGGACTACGACGTCAAGGGCGACGGTAAGACGGACGACACCGAGGCCATCAACAGAGCCATGAGCGACCAGAACCGCTGTGGCAACAACTGCGGCGCCTCCACGGTCAAGCCGGCCATCGTCTACTTTCCCTCGGGCACCTACCTCGTCAGCACGCCCATCACTGCGTACTACAACACTCAGATGATTGGAAACGTGAGTTCGAGAGCCTTGTTGCCCCCGATGAAATGAAACCCTAGGTTTGGATTGGACTGGCATGCTAACCACAACCGGAACTCGGAACGCAGGCGAATGTCCGGCCTATTATCAAGGCGGCCAAGTCTTTTACCGGCCTCGGCGTCATCTCTGTGGACGAGTACACGGGCGGCAATGGAGGCGCGGAGCAGTGGTACATCAACCAGGCGAGTCTCCATTCTAGTCATCTTGGCTGGCAGCTTCTGATGGCAAAGGACAGAACAACTTTCTTCGTCAGCTCCGCAATTTCAGAGTGGACGTCCAAGACGCAGACATGGATGACGTTGCCGGTCTCCACTGGCAAGTGGCCCAGGCTACTAGCATCCAGAATGTCGACTTCTACCAGTCACCGTCTACCGACAAGCACCATATGGGTATCTGTAAGTTCTCCCGGCTTTTGAAAAAAAAAAAAAAAAAAAAAAGAGGGCTAGCTTCCCGTCTTGACTTACACTAGCATAGTCGCAGAAAACGGGAGTGGTGGTTTCATGGGCGATATGACCTTCTTTAATGGCGAGATTGGCATTCGATGTAAGTGGCTACTGGGACGACCAATTACTGGGACCAAACGCTCTAACCCTATATCTACACTACTGACACCCGGTCACAACAGGTGGAAACCAGCAGTTCACGTCCATCAACATGGTCTTCGTCGGCTGTCGCACCGGAATCGACATGCTCTGGGACTGGGGCTGGACCTGGAAGGGTCTTCTGATGAGCACTACCGAAAACGGAATCCGCATGTCCGGGGACTTCAGGGGCGGCTCCATCATCGTCATGGACTCGTTCTTGCTGGGCATGAGTAAGGGTATCTCAGTTTCCACGCCCGTCGGAAACACCCCCTCCAAGAAGTTTACTATTACGTTGGACAACGTCGAGGTCTTCGGCGTCGGTAAGGCCGTGGATCACGAAACGGATGGCGCCCAGCTCGAGGGCGGCAGCCGCGTCATCCGATCCTGGGTCGTCGGCAAGGTTCACGACGAGAAGAACCCCAGTGGCACATACCAGAGCGGGCCGCTGTCGGCTCCACACCCAACGGAAGGCTCGCTCATGAAGGGCGGCGCATACTATAGGCGCCAAAAGCCCCAGTATGAGAACCTTGTCGCCAGTGACTTTATCAATCAATCTCGCGTTAGCAGCTGTCACACGTCGTCCGCTGTACATCCCCTTCGGGTCGTACCTTGTGAAATCCACTCTGCAAGTAAGGCTTTCCTGACTCCCCAACTCCATTCGTTTATATGATGCTAACTAGCCCCGTTACTCGTCAGATTCCGGTCGGATCCGTGATTGTAGGCGAGTGTTGGGCCCAAACCGTCGCCAACGGAGAGTCTTACAGCGACGCTGATTCCCCATACACTATGGTGCGGGTCGGGGACTGGGGCGAAAAGGGTAGCGTCGAGATCCAGGACCTCGTCTTCACCACAAAGGGCCCTACACCAGGCGCAGTTCTGATGGAGTGGAACATGGCCGAAGACCTGCAGGGCTCTGCTGCCATGTGGGACTCGCACTTCCGCATCGGCGGAGCGATGGGCACCGGTCTGACTGCTGCCGACTGCCCCAAGCTCACTGGTACTATCAATCCGAAATGCGTTGCCGGGTCCATGTTGCTCCATATGACTGGGGGTTCGTCGGGCTATCTGGAGAATGGGTGCGCGTGGGTGGCGGACCACGACTTTGACAGCGGCCCGGCACAGACCCAGATCGATATCTACGTCGCTCGTGGCATCTTGATCGAAAGCAAGGGCGGCCCTGTCTGGCTTTACGGAACCGCGTCGGAGCATTGCGTTTTTTATCAGTATCTCCTCTTGGGAGCACAAGACGTATTCATGGGGAACGTAAGTGCCGGCGTTTGGACCAAGTCTTCCAAGCTCTTCCTTCTATCATTAGAGACTCGTAGGCCTAACAAGGATGTCGAACCAGATTCAAACAGAAAGCCCGTACTACCTGCCAAAGCCTAAGGCGCCTGCCCCGTTCACGGACCAGGTCGGGCTCTTCAACGGGGATCCCGACTTCAGCGAGTGCCCAGAGTCGGAGCCGCACTGCGCAGCTGCCTGGGCATTGATGATTTCAGGGTCAACAAACGTTCATATCTTTGGCGCGGGGTTGTATAACTGGTTCGATGACTACACGCAGGACTGCATCGACACGCAAACCTGCCAGAAGCATCTCGTCCACGTGGAAGAGAGCGGACAGATCTGGTTCTATAACCTCTATACCATTGGGTCAGCCAACATGATTGACGCAGAGGGGTCCGATCCCATTCCGGCCAAGGACAACATCAACACCAACGAACATCCGTTCACCTCCGTCATTAACGCATGGCTGCTGTCTTCTTCCGGATCGTGAGTCTCACAACGGCGCCACATTGTCCTTTGTGTCCCACCATGGAGCCGGACATCCCAAGTGCTAACTTGTAAACAGCGGAAATGTCGACAACGTCCTGACAGACCAGGTTATCCTGGGCACAATGCTCCCACCTTGCCCATCCAAATACAACACGCTGGAGAATGTCGAAAAGTCCAAGTCGAGCATCCCGCAATACTGTCTCGACAAGTACCTCCTTCAGACGCAGCTCAACACCCTCGGCACTGCCCTTTCTGACTATAACAGCATCTTGAGGGACGGGTACGACGACAAGTTCAAGGCCTATCAGAGGTCAGTCTTGCAACAAGTCCCAGACCAGATCAACAAGTTCATGGAGGGGGCCCAGGCCTCGGGCAACTGGACCTGTACCGAGACTCGGACCGTTATCTGCTGCAGAGGTTGCCAGAATCATGCGGCGTGCACGAACCCCATGTGCGACTTTTCCAGCGACTGCAAGCCCGGCACCACCAAGAAGACAACTACCGTCGACTGCCCTGCGTCCATATCAAACAACTTACGCGAGCAGCTGCCGGTCCCCGTCGAGACGACCTACACGCTCAAGAACGAGCAGGGCTTCTGGGAGGGCCTGATGGCCGCGTACGGCATCCCGCAGGACTGGGTCAACATTGGGGAGCGGCTTGCGTACTTTGGAAAGGGCTGCGAAGGCGTCGCAGGCGACAGGACGTCGCCGGACACCTCGACCGAGTGCTTCAAGAAGTCATCCGTCTACTGGCACAACTTCCCGACGATGAAGCCGGGCGCGGCCATGGACGACCCCAAGGACAGCGTCAGCAAGTCTTACGACACGTTCAAGAACATCTACGACCGCGCCACCGTGTCCCTCGGGTTCGCCCAGTGGAACCTGTACGAGGCCAGCTCCACCGACATGCTGGCCACCGCGGCCCTGCCGGCCATGCTCCTGACCGACGCCGTCGACAACATGCGCCAGATGGCCAAGGCGGGCGAGGAGATCATTGAGCGCGAGCGCAAGCAGAACATCCTCTTCTGGCTCAACATGGGCCTCATGATGATCCCCGCGGCCGGACAGGTGGCCAGCAGCCTGGGCCGCGTCGCCGTCGCCGTCGCCCTCCGCGTCGTTGGCGAGGCCGCCACCGCCGCCCTGACGCTGTACGAGCTCGTCGACGATCCAAAGAACGCCCTGATGACCATGATGGGCTTCTTCCTCGGCGGCGGCGTCTCGCGCCAGCCCTTCCGCGAAGCCGCCGCCATCCGTCGCGGCATGCCCAAATCGCAGTTCGAAAAGCTGCCGCCCAGGATCAGGACGGACCTGGGGCGCATCCAAACCGTTGGGAACGTGTGCCGCGCGCGTTCGTAGTGGAGATGACGACGACTGCCTCCTGGGTGGTATGGTATCTCTTGACATGAAACTCCATCTGTTCTCATTTTGTCTCCTTTTTCTTTTCGTGTACAACAGCTGATGCCGGCTTTGACAAGGTCTCGCCGTTTAGATGATGATTCCGCCTCCAGCACTGCTGGTGTCCGCCATCCGACCTATTGTTAGAACAATCTAATCTTGAATGGCATTTATTTCCGGCCTTCGGGTGTTCGGCCTATTATAATTATAAATAGATAGGAATAGGGTCTAGAATTAGGATTTCCACTACGAAAAGTCATCAGCAGGCCCAAGGCCGTCGCGAGGCAGTCATGTTGCAAAAGTCAATAAGCCGACAGGTACCTTTTCAGAGGGGGTCTTCCAGATTAGGCTAGCTTCAGACACCGTCTTATATGGGGTATGTACTCTTTGTACTCTTGGTACTTCTTGTGGCTGTCGCGTCTGTGGTGGCTATTGATAACTACTCGGTGGGTGGACCTTATCTGATTCACCACCAAAGATCTGTTAGATCCTTCCTCGTAGTCCTTGATGGTACCGATGTATCTTTTGAGGATGTCTTTCGGTTTCAACGAAAGAAGCATACTAAGCTTAACATAGAGCAACGTGATTGTGTCTGGATTAAATATTGTGCATGATAAGTGATCGACCAGTCTGCCTTACCCCGCATTCTCAGCCTCAGTCGAGAGCTGAGATAGCCGATAATCTGCTCTGATAATGTTGATGCCTGCTTCCCATATCACATTCACGCTAACAAGGCATCCGACGATCGAGATTTCTTTGCTAGAATAGAAACTTGGAAGCTCCTAACAATACTTGTTCACGGCCACCGGCCTCGTTGATTTTCTCCAAGTAAGGGATGATGCGAGAAGGCGTTGATGCTTGTGGGGAAAAGACAAGACACAACAAGAGAAACCAAGCGGGGCTGAATTGAGACTCACGGCTTTCCTTCAATTGCCTTGCGACGATAAAGGGCTCGAGCACAACGTGACGTGATGTGAGGGCGGCTGAGACGCGCCGCGACGCGATGGCGATACGCAGACACATGTGACCTATATTGCGTCAGGTCGAAAAACTGGATCGACCATCCAGCCGTGTTATCGCAGTGCGTTTTGACTGTCGATGTATGCATCGTGCCAGCTTAGGAAGGTCCCGTCAAAGGAAGATTTGATCTACCTAAGACGTGTTCTGCCTTGGGCGGAATTACTGAGAATGTGGCGATCAGGCTGTAATTGGGCTTTGCTTAAGGCGACCAACTTGCCAGCGAACTATGCATCAGGCAACTGAAGGATTGCGTCATAACTACTGCATAACACGCACATAAGGTAGACCCAAGGGACTGTTTCAGCCTTCGATATCTCTCAAATTCTCAAATTTACTGTCCTCATTGAAATCTATTCAGGCTACGACGGCATTCTGGACCGCATCATTAATCTTCAAATCAATTTCGATCTTGTTCCAATAGCGGCACGGGAATGTCCGATACGATCCATCCCGCCCTCAAATGGTTGCGTCTGGCAAACGATGAACCATCAGACGTCGTGTTTGGATGTCTCGCCGCCATTATCAGCAGCACATTCCTGGCGCTACATCTCAACGTCTCGCCGCCACACCCTGAGAGCCAATCCACCTTCTTCCTCCGGCGATGGTGGGATGCCGCCCCGACTCGACAGCTTCGGCGCCAACTAGTATGGACAGGCATGATTGTGTTTGCCCCAGAGGTTCTCGTGAGCATGGCGTTTGGGACGTGGCGAGCGTCATCCATTGGCGCCGAAGTCTTTCGCTCAGGTCATGGAAACATACAGACCTGGGGTAAGAGGCACGCTTGCTTTGCGAACATGGGCGGAATAGAGTTTAAGTTTCAGAAAGACGGCGACAACATTCCGGAATCTCATGACCGTCAGTTTCTTATTCATTTGGCAAACAGCAGAGCAAGGGAGAATTCGACGCTGTGGAAGATCGCGGTTGTTTTCCATCATAAGACGGAAGTGCTACGGACATGGCTGGAAAAGGCATATTGGGCCGTCATAGCGACCTTCCAGTATTTGTCTCAACCTTTCTTGAGAATAATCCGATTCCCCACAGGTGAACCGGCACGGGCTGAAAGAGAGCCCGATGGCCCTCTGCAAGCCCCAGAAACATCAATTGAGCTCTCAGAAATGGATACTCGCGCTGTCGCCGCGTCGTCCCGGCATCCGGAAACAGCAACAGCAACCGCTACCAACATATATCCTAGAATAGGCGAGTCTTCAGCTGGACCGTCAAACGCTCACAGGGATTCAGCAGACCTGGGGCTTGTGTACCTCACCGATCTTGTCAGCCCCGAAGGCAGGCCTGGTAGTACTGTGCATGCTCGACAGGATGAGGCTATCCTTGCAGAGCCAGACCCATTCAGTCAGGACCTTGCCCCGCAGGACAGAACCAGCTCATCTACCTGTCTCTCTAATACCACCGATACGGTAACTCTCTACTTGAACGCCATACAAATCGTCGCGGCTCAGAATCTGTGTCTGTTGGACGAAGGTCCATCAATCAGCGAGGAGGATATAAAAGATAAAGACAAGACAAGTGCCTATGCTCGGGGTCTGGTGATCTTCCAGCTTGTCTGGTTCGCGATGAGGAGTATTACGCAGCTTTACCTCGGTCAGTCTCCCGCCCAAATTGAGCTCGCAACGTTGACGTACGTCTTGTGTGCCTTGATGGCCTACGCCATGTTTTGGAACCAGCCTCAGGGGGTTGAACGGCCGATACAACACACTGTTAAAGCGTCTCCGACTAAGGGGACTCGCCCAGTGACCGATGAGGATATTCACTGGCTCAGCTTCTATAGCGGGTCCCCTTTCCTTGAACGCAACTTCGTTCCACCATTCGGCATGGGTAGCACGGGATTCGACGCCACTAAACTTCCGCCTTCTGACTTATCGCTCACCTGCTTCACTACATTCGGAGGCGTCCTGCTGATGGATGACGACGTCGCGGGCATCATTGTGGGAATGATATTCGGGGCCCTCTACTGTCTTGGCTGGAACCACTCCTTCTCTTCAAAGTGGGAGCTATGGGCATGGCGTGCATCCGCCATTGTTATCACGGGTTCCCTGGTCCCCTTCGCTCTCGCCAATGCCCCATGCTCAATATCTGCCCTCCATCACCAGGCAGATCGAGTGCGGCCATCAACGCACTCTACACACATTTTATCACTCTACATGTTACTAGTTTTGTACATTCTTTGCCGGGGATTCATGCTTGTGGTTATGGTAAGGGTGCTCTGGCTATAAACCTTTAAGGTGTTATAGTTATTCGTTGCCAGTAAACCATGAGCCTGTACGCCGGGCGCAGCAAGGGGAAGTTAATGCGGAAAGTAACGGTGGGTGATGACGGTAGGAGATGACGGTAGGAGATGACGGCGGGAGGCGACGGTAAGAGAATTTAGGTATGGTGTGGCTTTACAACGGAAGTCACATGTTGGCTCGGACGCAGCTCAATGATTGGTGGGTCCGCCTTCGGACGCATCGATTTTGGGTGCGTCCGAAGGAGATGGAAGTCGCAGGCAGGCAGGCAGTGGCTTCCGTTGACGCTGCAGTGCCACGAGGGAAGGCACCCACCTACCCACCATGTCCCCTTCCCAAAATGTCACTGAGCATCGAGCGCCACCCCACCTGGGCAGAACATCTGCTCGGGCGGGATGGCACCGCGCCACTCAACCTGCCTGGAGCAACCCAGAGGGGACGAATACCCGACCATCATCGGTACATTGGCGACAACACGGAGATTTGTCATTGACTACCAACGAGAGTAAATGTCCCCTATCGTCTGACATGAAGCTGCGCGAATCTGGCAGAGCCCAAGCCTGTCCCATCCCCCAAGCTGCCCGCCCAAATGCTGACCAAAAAGCAGTCTACACCTGTCAGAAGCCAGAGGAAGATCCACAGCCGCCTCTCGTGTGGCTGGAGGAGCCGCATTGAGTGCACACCTTGTCGCAGTCCACCGAGGCATGTTCCCGACCACCGCACCACATGCATTTGCGACCAGGAGTCAGAGGCGACGCGGAGGACGATGGCGACGCATGAACGCGGATCGGCAACCGAGGAGCCAGGGACGCGTGTCGCTTCACAGCTGCAGGTGCTCGAGATGCTGTGAGGCTCGAGGGAGAACGTGCCGTCGTCATCGTTGGCCGCAGTTCGGACGTGGGAGGAGGAGACATGTTGTGCTGGAAAGGCGACGGCTCAGCCCTCGGTGCGACCGTTGCGGGGGCGGCAAATTCCTCCTTTGCCGGCTCTGTGGAATGGTCAAGCGTCTTGAGCACAGTATTCTTTGGCTGTTTTGCGTCTTCAGCGTCGGCGGGGACGGCATTCATGGGAATGCGGTCGAGGGTCTGGCTGTTGGCGCCACCGGTCGTTGTGAGGTCCGTCGAGGAGGAATCGGTCAAAGGGACATTCGCCGTGCGGAGGTTCTTTGAGAGGCCGGTCGAAGAGAGGTCTGTCGAGGAGCGGCTCGTCGAGTGGAGGATCTTCAAAGAGTCGATTGGAGAGATGCTCGCCGAAGGGGAGGTCTTCGAGAAATCGCTTGAAGAGAGGTTTATCGAGGAGAGACTCGCCAAGGAGAGATCTTTGGAAAAGTCGGTTGAAGAGCGGTTCTTCAAGGAGAAGTCGGTCGAAGGGAGGCTCGCTGAGGAGAGAGGTTTCGCCTTGCTGGGAGAGATGGCCGTCTGCAGCAGATCGGTGTCTGCATGACACTCGCGAGTTAGCTTCACCTTTCGCGACATGCTCTCGCTCCACGGCTGCGCGGTATAGCTCACGGTCAAGATGTGCCGAGCGACCGACGCTCTTCTTCTTCAGAGCCGGGAATATTGGCGTCTGCTTGGGCTTTGGAGACGCAGGGTGCTCCGGCTCGGCGCGAGCATGCTGAGTGTTTTGCTGCGGCGTCTCTGGTCGCTGCTTGATCGTGAGCGACGGGCCAATGTCGGAGCAAACGGAGGACTCTCTCGCATAGCCCTGGCCCGCGAGAGACTCAGGTCGGGCCCGCGTAGGAGAAGGTAGCTTGTCGGCCGCTTTACGGCTTGATGACGCTGTTGGCTGATCATAGCCAGGCATGTTTTCGATAGCGTCGCAAATGCAATGTTGAGAGATGGAGAGGGAGAGATGAAGAGCGTGCGGAGGAAAATTTGCACTTGGCCTGCCGAAGAGCAAACGGATGAACACCCTGTTTGCTCCTCCGGAAAAGAGACGTGCGCACCACCGGCACACGAAAGAAGCGCACATCGCATCCTCCTGGCCAAGTCTGTCTCTCCCCATCTGTCTCTCCCTGACACGCGTGCGCGCACTCCAAAAGGCTACAATGGTAGACATTCACAACTCTGACGAGGTAAGTCAGCCGGGGAAGCAAGCCCGGAGAAACCCATCGGACCGCTGACACTGCTCGCTCCAAGTTCCTCTGCCACAAGCCCCTCTCCTCGTACACCCGAAACGGCCAGAAGATCAGCTTCTGCCATCGCTGCAAAGGCATCATTGTCCGCACGCTGGTCGAGTTCAAGTTCGACCCGTCATCGCCCGCGTCCGCCGACAGCCCAAGCACGAACACCAGCATGCAGGACTGGCTCTGGCATCTCTGCGATCTCCGACCGTATTCGGAGCTCGACAAGTTCCGACCGGGCTTCGAGGAGATGATCCTGCACATCGGGCGGGAACTCAAGAAGAACGGCGACGAGGACGACCCCGTCGCGAGGGCCAAGGCGGCGCCCGGGGGCGAGTGGACCGCCGATCCGGTCGCGGCGTACAGGTGGTGGAAGGCGGGCTGCGTGCGACGGGCGAAGGAGCGCAAGGGCAAGGCTTTTGTCGACGGTGGTGGTGGTGGCGACGGGGAAGACCGTCATCGTCATGGCAGCAGCAGCGTCAAGGATGGCCATCACACTGATGTTGTTGTTGCTGCTCCTCCTCCTCCACCTCCTCCTCCTCTTCCTTCTCCTCCGCAGCTGCTCTCCTCCGCTGCGATCCACACCCTGACCCAGCTCCGCGAGCTAGGTGTCCAGATCGCCGAGGCATCCAACAAGAAACGCGAGGCCGTCACGGCTCAGGCAGCGCGGGATACGGCGGAGGTGAGGTTGCTGGCGTGCCGGAAGCGCGTGGACCAGCTGCAGCGTCGATGCAGCCGGAGCGATGGATCGCCGAGACCGCCGGTCCCTGAGCTGCTCGTCGAGAGGGTCGAGAGCGCCTCGTTGGCCCTGCAGGAGCACGAGGCAAAGTTGGCGGTGGTGATACCGGAGGCTGTCGCGAGCGCCACGGCGTTGGCGCAGAGCAAGGCGCTGGAGCATCTCGTGCGAGTTAGTGGCACGGGCGAGAGGGAGTGAGCGTGGCGCGGTTAGCAAGAGTTTGGGACCAACGTTGGTTTGGAGTGTTTGCAGAAAGGATCGCTATTTGACTTGTGATATGCATGTTCGCCATGTCCTCCCCCCTTGTGTAATGGAACAACAGCTCCCTGTCAAACTTTGTCGTGACACCAAGTAAACCTCCATCAACCTGCTCGGAGACGTCCAAGCCGATCCATCATCTCCTCCTCCTCCGTCTCCTCCCGCTTCGACTGCTCCGCGTATCTGCGGCGGCCAATGTCCTTGATGGCCTGGACGTCCGCGGTGGGACCCGTGACGGGCGAAGTGCTCCAAGTCCCGGCAGGCGACGCGCGCCGACCACCATCAAGCCCGGTTTGCTTCCGTCCGTATTGATCATCAAGCCCGGTCTGCTTCCGTCCGCCTTGGTCATGATGACGAGTCCGTCTGTGGTGTTCGGGGACGGCGCCGGTATGGGTGCTCGGCGGCGCGGTCGACAGACCCAGCGCGGCGGTTGTAGTGGCGGCGAGAGACGACAAGAATGCTGACTGGCGCGGACCGGGCTGTGTAGTCGGAGGCGAAGGAACAGGAGGCTCGAGGATGTTCGTCGTCGTCGTCGTTGTCTGATCGGGGACCGCGGGGTCGGCAGCTGGTTCGTTAACGGTGGCAAGCTCTGGAACCCAACCCGGGACCCGTCAGCGTCGCATCACACGAGAAAATGTCTAAGGCCAACGTACCCTTCTTCCGCGCCTCGATCTCCATCCGCTGCTGGTGGATCTTGGTCCGGTGCTCCTTGGCGGTGGCATGCGCCCACGATCTGAAGAAACTCGTGGGATCCTGCCACTGGAGCTCCTCCTCCGTGTCCGAGAACACGACGCTTTCAGTCTCGTCGGCTTGGTCCCGGTCGCCCGTTCGTTGGGCGGAGGCTGCCCACTTCACGTCGGCGAGATCGCCGGCATCGAGCTTGGCGATGAGCGTTTGGTATGCCGCATCGTCGGTGTCCTTGAGGTGCTTCAGGTACATGAGCCAGGCGCGTGGGCGCGCATCCCAGTCGACGGGAGGGGCCATGAGGTGCGGTGGATCTTGGGATAAGACGCCTTGGACGCGGCTGGCAGAAAGGAGGTGGTTGCGATGATGGAAAAGTGCTACGAGATCAAGGGCAGAGACGGGTACCTGCATCACGGAACGGGCTCTCTTCTTCCGTTCACACGCGCCGCAAGAATGCCTGCCACATGAAAACATTCGACATGGATTTCAATCACAAGGTAAAAGTCTCCAAACATGCGATACTGTAAATTGCAATACATAAACGTGACCTATCCAGCGGCGTTCCCAGGACCACAAAATCCGCTGGCTGATCGAGGGTTGGCGACCGGTTAAGAGCCAGTCATGACGAGATGGTCCAATTGCTGCGTCAACAGGTGAACATCTGCAGAGCCGTTGTTGCCCTCTTCCAGACCCAGACCCTCAACTCTGACAATCACATCGCCATCACCGACCGCGAGGGCGGCCCGCAACTCGGTGACGCCCAGCTGAGCCTCCCTGAGACGGTGCGACAGCTCCTGTCTGTCATGTCTGTCCTGACCTGGCTGCTGCACCTCGCATGCTTGTCCCCGGCAGAGCGAATCCAGCCCCTGCACAAGCGGCGCGACGCTGTGCATCCGCTGGCCCGTGACGATGGCGCGTTGGATCGATTCGAGAATGCTGATCATGTCGGACTCGCGCTCAGAGATCATGACCAACTGGATCTCCTTGACACTGGCGATGAGCCCGTCAAGACGCTCGCGGCTTGCTTCGAGCTGGTCAGAGTGGACCGTATCGCCATGGTCCTCGGGGAGCGGCACCTTGGACCGTGGGGTTTCTGGCGGAGAGGGAAGCGCGCCGACCGGAACAGTCTGAGAAGGAGTAGGAGGCGGTGTACGAGGCGGCGGCGGATCCGGCCGGGTTGGTGGCGGT